AGAGCACAGATAGCCCATTGTGTAGCTTTGTGTTTACCTTCAAATAAACAAACCATTTGATACTGTTAAAATAGAAAATAATACATAATCGAAACGGTGTTTATACACAGTCAGTAAGTCGTCTTTAAGTCATACAACTTTGAATTCCCACCCCACTCACACGTGTGAAATAGCTGTGTTTTGGGATAAAAATTGTGTTAGATATGCACTTACTACTTGTGATAAGAGTTAAAACCTATGTTGTAGTAACATTACGGTTGTAATTGAACTTTCTGCTGAAATTCAACTTTCTTTTTTGTTTCTTTTTAGAACAAAGCCACATTGGGTTATATGCTGTGTCAATCGCGGGGAATCGAACTTCGGATTTTAGCATTGTAAATTCGCAGAATTACCACTGTTCTGTCGGATGAAAGCTACACAATCAGCTATCTCTTCTGTGTTCACACCGGTTATCGAAATTTAATTTTTAGTGTTATAACTCTCCGCTGAGCCACCGGGGACGTGAAATTTAAGAGGGCTATGACTAGTACTCTGACATAACACCTGGTTAATGTTTTTGGGTGTTAATCCGCTAGAACGTTAAATCAAAATTTTTATTGCATATAAAACCAATTTTTACTGGTTCTCCTGTTGTATCGCACACTTGTTTTTTTTATTTGAAGTACAAGGCTACAGAATAGGTTATTTGTTCTCTGCTCATCGCGGTATAGAAATATGATTTTAGCGTTATAAGCCCACAAATGTATCACTGAGCTAGAGGGAGAGGGAGGAGGTACAAGAGACTATCTGCATTCTTTCGCACGCGACTACTATTGAGACAGAAGTACTGAAAGGATTTTAAACGAAGAGCTCTGGGAGTGTGTGATTTAGTGACTATAGAAGGGCTCTGGCAGTGTGTAAGGTAGTGACTATAGAAGAGCTCTGGCAGTGTGTAAGGTAGTGACAAAGATGGTCTCTGGCAGTGTGTAAGGTAGTGACAAAGATGGTCTCTGGCAGTGTGTAAGGTAGTGACAATGATGTTCAAAACATCTTTGAGCCTTTTACTTACATAGAAAAATAAAGGATGGGAAAAAGAAAGTCCTAGTGTTATCTGTGAAGATCATAGTCATGTGGATTGTAGGAAACAGGGTTTAAAAGAAACACCCAGTAGTATGTGTGAAGGTTATAATTACGTGGACTATATCAAATAGGTTTAAAAAAAACTTGTGGTGTCATAATCCGAAAGCCGGTACTTAAGAGGTTTCAAAATAAACTTTGCAATAGGTTTTAAAGAAGTGAAGATGATGACAAAACCTTGTCGAAACTTTGTACACTTGCTGTTATGTTAAACTTATATTAAAGTTTTTCTTCATTACCCATTCAAGCCGTCTCCAGCCATTGTTACTTGAATGATAAAGACAGTGAACTACATGACTGGGCAACTCCCACGTCTAAAGAAATATTAAACATACATTTTTGGGGATGTACCTTGTACATATGCCTTTTCCATTTGAAAGTTAAAAGTGTCTGAAATAATTGCTCTAATCAGGTATTATTATACTAGATGTACTTCCGCAGGGTCCCCGAAAGTGTCCTGATTCAAGAGTAAATAAATCCAAAATTAAGAGTAACAAATATTTTTATTTTTTGCTTTTGAAGTTCATATGTTATGCTACGTTGTAGCCGACAGAGTGCATAATTCCTCTCGTGATTCATGGCATGCGCATGTTATACTGACGTTACGACAGTACAATTACAACATTAAGCGTCCCTTATATGACGTCATTTTAGTGTCTACTGACTGACTGACTGACAACACATTACTGTGGTGTGAGTGGTTAAAACAGATGTCCTCTCCTAGCAGCGTTCTGCCCTCTTTGGGGAAAAGTACGCTTTAAGTTATTTAAAGTATTTATTTAACTATTTTAATATTACAATGGCCATGGTGTATGTTAAGAGTATGTGAAAATACCAAAGATATTTTAATATGTAATAAATATTAGCTCAAAATCTTCACATATAATATCAGGAGAACAAAGAAGAAGAATAGTCAACTATTCGAAAGCGCTCGAGTTTTGGCTCTTATTTTAAGCTATTACACTTTATATGTGATCCTCTGTGCTAACTCTTTTATCAAAACAGTTATAAAATATTTGTATTTTAGATACGCTATAGTTTTGTGATTGTCTCTGAAGGAATAAGTTGATAATTTAGCCTGCCTGTTATACAGCAATTAACATTACTTGTTCGGCATTTGCTTACGTTTTTCTCAGGGTTTTACCAACGGCAAACCTCACCGAGCTCAGGAAGGTTATCAACGACCAATTGGGCCAAGACGTTCTTCCCAAGAATTACTTGTTCTTACGAAGTGTTGGAAGGAATTTCACTCAGGTTGATGTCTTTATATTTTTCGTTAATAAAATGCCTATCAATTAACTTAATGCCAGTGGTCATCTTTGAAAATATATTGGCAGTTGACTTTTTATGGACGTATGTTGTTAACAAAACACTGATTTCTATTTCAATACAATAAACGCTATATTATATGAGCAGCATCACTAATAAGTTAGAATAATATCTTAACTTGTCGTCTAGGTGAAGCCACATCAAGAGAAGGATATGAAAACTAAAAATTATATGCCACCTTTCGTAAGTTTATCGTTCATTTACTTTTCCTGTTTGTTTTCTTTTACTAGTGACTTCAGCGCCCCACGTTTTACTTCATTATTAATTTAATTAGTTATAAAATCGTCGTCAAAGTAACATTACTGCTTTAAGATTCTCTGTCTTTTCGGTGCTATATTATTTCTAAAGGATATCTTCTAGCCTACATTAATGAAATTAATAATATTATCACACTAGTGATAAAAACAATATTTTAAAATCTTCACATTTTGTGAAGTTTTCTCTGAAAGTCAGTGAAGCGCATGTATTTATAATGTTGTTTTCTGTAACTTAGCAACTAGCAATTAAGTGTCCAGTAGTCACGAAAGTGTTCACTTTTAAATTATGATAGTTATATTTAAACTATATCTGGTATACACATATCTTTTCTTTAATAATAAGAAAGTAGGATTATTGAATACACCATGTTAAAAAAAATCCAATCAATACAAAACCCTAATGGACAAAAGGCACAGTAAGACTGTGACTAAAACCCTAATGGACAAAAGGCGCAGTAAAGCTGTAGCTAAAACACTAATGGACAAAAGGCACAGTAAAGCTGTAGCTAAAACACTAATGGACAAAAGGCACAGTAAGGCTGTAGCTAAAACACTAATGGACAAAAGGCACAGTAAGGCTGTAGCTAAAACACTAATGGACAAAAGGTAAGGCTGTGACTAAAACACTAATGGACAAAAGGTAATGCTGTGACTAAAACCCTTACCTTTTGTCCATTAACACTATCAATATACAGAACTAGTATCGTGTATCATGTACACTATCAATATACAGAACTAGTATCGTGTATCATATACATTATCAATATACAAACTAGTATCGTGTATCATATACACTATCAATATACAGAACTAGCATCGTGTATCATATACACTATCAATATACAGAACTAGTATCGTGTATCATGTACACTATCAGTATGCAAAAACCCTTAAGGACAAACGGAACAGAAAGGCTGTCAAGAAACGAAAAAAAACAATTAAACTGTAAAAATTGTAAATATTCTCATAGAAATATTGGTACATAACTAAAACCTTAAAACGATACGTACAATAATTAATTTGTTTTATTAACAAGTTATTGCTCATTACTAGTATTCAATACGTAATATGAATTAACACTATTTCTTACTCATCTCTTCTTCTTCTTCCCACCAATCCTACCTTCGAATATGGTTTTAATAAAAGTGCAGCCTCGCATATATAGCATCACTGGATCCGAAAATGATGGAGTAAAGACCCATATAATTGAACAATTGATTATTGTGCGGGTCGTGTTGGAATTTCAATTATGTACCAAGATTTCTATTTGCATGAACGCTTTGTCTTATACTTGTTTCGTTTCTTTTGAGTCACAACCTTACTGTGCTTTCTGCCAATTAGTGTTTTAGTCACAGCCTTACCTTTTGTCCATTAGTGTTTTAGTCACAGCATTACCTTTTGTCCATTAGGTTTTAGTCACAGCCGTGTATATGATACTCGATACTAGTTCTGTATATTGATTGCGTATATGATACACGATACTAGTTCTGTATATTGATAGTGTATATTGATACACGATACTAGTTCTGTATATTGATAGTGTACATGATACACGATACTAGTTCTGTATATTGATAGTGTATATGATACACGATACTAGTTCTGTATATTGATAGTGTATATGATACACGATACTAGTTCTGTATATTGATAGTGTATATGATACACGATACTAGTTTGTATATTGATAGTGTATATGATACACGATACTAGTTTGTATACTGATAGTGTATATGATACACGATACTAGTTCTGTATATTGATACACGATACTAGTTCTGTATATTGATACACGATAATAGTTCTGTATATTGATAGTGTATATGATACACGATGCTAGTTTTGTATATTGATAGTGTATATGATACACGATACTAGTTCTGTGTATTGATAGTGTATATGATACACGATACTAATTCTGTATATTGATAGTGTATATGATACACGATGCTAGTTCTGTATATTGATACACGATACTAGTTTTGTATATTGATAGTGTATATGATACACGATACTAGTTCTGTATATTGATAGTGTATATGATACACGATACTAGTTCTGTATATTGATAGTGTATATGATACACGATACTAGTTTGTATATTGATAGTGTATACGATACACGATACTAGTTTGTATATTGATAATGTATATGATACACGATGCTACTTCTGTATATTCATAGTAGTGTATATGATACTCGATACTAGTTCTGTATATTGATTGCGTATATGATACACGATACTAGTTTTGTATATTGATAATGTATATGATACATGATGCTAGTTCTGTATATTCATAGTAGTGTATATGATACTCGATACTAGTTCTGTATATTGATTGCGTATATGATACACGATACTAGTTTTGTATATTGATAGTGTATATGATACACGATACTAGTTCTGTATATTGATAGTGTGTATGATACACGAT